GAAAGTTAATCAGGGTGAAAATTGCAGTCGGTCATGTCTGGAAGCCACCAGAGGCTGATCCTGGAGCGCTGCAGGCTGGAGCACATGGGTATGAGACAGTCTCCCTACGTGTGGGCTGGTGGTTGCCAGGAGAAGAGCTTTCTCCTTCATCTTGCCACCCTTGGGCGTTCAGTCCTTCCCCGCTTTTGGGTTTCTTGGCCTCTGGTAACCGGTAGAGAAAGCCGGAGCAGCGCGGGCTCGGCGGGTTTGCTGCTGAGCATCCTGTGCCTGTTTTAGCACAAAGAACCGGGGACTCGTGTGGTTTCCTCGCTCCCTTTTTGAAGGAGAGCTATTCTGTTTGAATAGCTTTCTCTAGGTGTGTTTGCAGCTCTGAAAGTGAACTTTCAGGTTTGTCTCTTAATACCGTTGGCTCGGTCCCAGCCCGGAGATGTGGATTGTAGAGGTCTCGGGCATCTAATGGAGCTGAATTATTCATGTCTGGTGCTGTGTGTGTGCAGCATTCCCAAGCAGAAAGCAGTCTCCTTGTAGGATCTGCGCTCCAGGACTGCTCTTAAAACGCTTTGTTGGCAGGTCTCCAGGCCAACAAGTGAGCACATGCTTTTCATGTTGCACGGGGATCAATCCCGCGATGGCAGGAGGTAAGGGGAAGGACACGTTTATAGCTGAATCAATCTCCTCGGTCTGTTTTCTGAGATGCTGTGATTTGTGGCGGCGTTACTCCCCCCGGCAGGGGAGTGGGGAGGATCTGGATAGCACCCGGCGCTTCTCCGGCTTGGCCAAACCAGGCGGTGGGAAAGGGACCTCCTTCTCTGGGCCGTGGGCTCTGGTAGCCAGGGGTTCCCCTGCACACAAAGTAGAAATGGTGTGGCAGGTGGGGGGTCTCGCCTGGGAGAGGGACTCGAAACGCTCTCCTGCTGCAGAGGTTGAGCCTGCGACAGTGGCTCTTGGGAGACGAGAAATGGGGAAGTGGGAGTTTCAGGGGGTGAATGTTTGAGCTGTGGAAATGGGTTAGAGCCACGTGCAATGGATGACTTGCAGGGATTTCCCCCCACATCACATACTGGGGTCCTGGCCTTCAGCCCCAGGCTGGAAATGGCCAATCCCTGCCCCAGTCCTTCCCGCAGTGGCACATCTCGAGCTCCCTGCTCCGCTCTCGGCATGACGTGCCTTTCCTCCGCTCTTGCAAATCCAGCCTCTTCTCGTCCATCCTGTTTGCGGTTCCCTTCCCTCTGCATCAGCAGAGCTCGGGCTCCCTCGACGCCTCCTCCATAGGGTGAACGTGTTTTCTCCTCTCGTTTTCTAACCCTTTGATTGTTCCTGGCTCTCTAATCGCCGGGGACCCAGCGGACTTCTGGGCTGCTTCTTTCCTTTTGTTGTGGTAGGAATTGGCAAAGGCTGCCGCTGTTTGCATAGTTTCAGGCCAAAGTCCTGCTCATCTGCTCTCCTTATTTCATGTGTATAAATAATATTTATGTATATGTGTGCGTGATTGTATATATGCACACTTAAAACAGCCAGGCGAGCTCCCCGTGCAGACTGAGAGCCGACCAAGCCGGCGTCACGGAGGCGTTGCGTGGAGTGGGTGATGGCTGTCCCTGTCGCGACACAGCCCCGCGATTGTCCGTCACCTTCCTGCGACTGCGAGGCTGGGTTCTTGTCCGTTTGTCCTTCTGATCCGAGCTGGTCGTGGCCCTTCATGCTCCAGCCCTGGGTGGGCAGCTCTTGGGGTTGGAGGTTGAACCTTGTCCTCTCCGGGTAGCCGACGGGTGTGTTGGTCCTGCACAGCAGCACCGTGTCGCCAGGCCCTGCCCAGCAGGGTTGTGTCTGGACACCGTGCCTCAGTTTTGGGCACGGAATGGGCTGTTACCAGCTAAAAATCTGTCTGGTTCATCCACTTTGTTACCAGCTTTGCCCATCCGGACAAAGGAATCGCTGCGGATCCGTGGCACAAAGGGAGCCGACTGCCGGCTGGGCAGGTCTGCGCTGTGCAGGCATGAGATGGTTGCTGCCCATCGCCGGCCCAGTCGGTGATTCGGAGAGGGGCTCCGGGGAGGCAGCTTGGTGGGGTCTGGCTGGATGCCCCAGCTGGGGAGCGGGCAGGAGGAAGAGGAGGAGGCGGCAAGAGAAACACACGGTGTGGCTTTGGGAAGCCGTTAGCGACTCCTGTACACAAAGTGATCTCCTGATTCGGCACTTTCTCTGCCGCTGAAATGAGAGGTCAGTGCTTTTCATTTCCAGCTTGCATGCTAGCCCCCGGCTCCTGGGGTTAAAAATCTCCGTAATGACCTGTCAGAGAGCGGATTATTAGCTGTACAGAGCCGAGGATGCTGTGGGGAGCAGATGGAAAATGGTCTGGCTGCGGCAGCCTGTCTGATGAAAGAATCCCTGGCATTTTTACAGTGTTTGCATCTCTGGAAACGCACCATGAAGCTGCTTTCCAGGCTCCTGCCTGCTGGGGTTTGAAGAAATTTGTGTGTGTGTGGTTGGTTTTTTTTTCCCATTCTCATTTCTCTTTAAGTCACCTGTTTTTGAAGTGTTGCTCTTAAATAGTACCAGGAGCCGGCAGGCCTGGAGCTCGGCGGGGAAGGGAGGACAGTGCTGCTGGAGAGGAGCTTCATCCAAATGGGTGGCCAAGGATTTCTTAAGAGATCTGGAGAGCGGGTGGCTGGGGCCGAGTAGCTGGCCGGGTGGCTGCTGGGAAGAAGCTGTTTCATGTGTTAATTATGTCTCGTCAGTGTAATTGCCACGAGCTAATCTCAGCGAGCAACTCGGGTGCTTTTTCGGGTTGCGCGTGGGTGTCTTTTTTTGTTTTTCTCCCCCCGATGCTGGCACTGGGGACCGGGCAGCGTACAGTGCATCAGAGAGCTGGGAGGGTGAGGGGCTGGGAAGCCAGGAGGAAAAACGTAGGGCTGTCTGGGATTGGTCACGGTGTGGTCAGGTATGGCCAGCCTCTCTCTTCCCGGTCAAGGCCGGGTTCCCATGTGCCTCGACTTCCTTCAGAGCCTGCTAAGCAGCTCATCGTGGTGTAGCTGATGGTGGTTTGATGTCCTAAAGCCAGGTGCCATGTTGTGCTGCCTGGAGGTGTGGGATGGAAACCTGGCACTTCCAGCTCCCATCTGGCCTTCGGTGACAGCTCTGATGCATCCAAGTGTCACAGGCTCCCTGAAGCTTGGGATTTATTTCCCACCAAGGCACTTGACGTCCCTGGTGAGCGGCTCTTGTCCCTCGCAGTGCGGCCGGCACGGAGAGGAGCCCTCCCCCCGGGTGGCATCGGCAGGAGAGGAATCAATCCTCCCTCCCAGGGGCAGCGCTCGATAATTCAGAGGGAAATGGCGAGTGGGGAAATGTGTGAGTAATGTCTTGTTGGAGCTGAGAGCTGTGACCTGCCAGGGCTGGTATTGATCGAGGGACCGGTGCCAGATGGCTGCTGCTGCGGGGATGGCTGAGGAGCAGCCCCCGGCTCAGGGGGGTGGCAGGAGAATGCTGCCTCACATCGTGCAACGGGAGATTTGGGAGCCTGGGGGCTTTCACCCTGTCCAGGGCCTCCTGTGGCTGCCGATGAAGGCAGATGTGCTTGCCCTGTGCTCTTTGTGTGTAACCCTGTTCTCTTTGCTCTCCCTTCCAGCAGCGATGCTGTCACCTGGGCAGACCCCGACTGCTGGAACCCCCCGGAGGACGTAGGTGACCCCCAGGGCGTGGAGGCAGGGAAGAGCCTTGAACCGTGAGGGGCCGTTAAGTCTAAGATGTCCTTGAGCAGCGGAGCTTCCGGAGGGAAAGGAATTGATGCGAACCCGGTTGAGACGTACGACAGCGGGGATGAGTGGGACATTGGCGTAGGGAATCTCATCATTGACCTGGACGCTGATTTGGAGAAGGATCAGCAGAAATTGGAAATGTCGGGCTCCAAGGAGGTGGGGCTTCCAGCACCCAACGCGGTGGCAACCCTACCGGATAACATCAAGTTTGTGAGCCCGGTGCCGGGCCCACAGGGCAAGGAGGGCAAATCCAAGTCGAAAAGGAGCAAGAGTGGCAAGGACAGTGGAAAGCCAACTGCGGGGACCTCCTTGTTCACTCCCAGCGAGGGAGCTGGTGGCAAGAAGGAGGCTCAAGGACGCTCTGGGGACGGTGTGAACTCGGGCGGCTTGGTGCCTGCCGTTGCCCCGAAGGGCTCGGAGAAATCGGCCAAGGCGTCTCGCAGCGTGGCCGGCTCCAAGAAGGAGAAGGAGGGTGGCTCATCCAAAAGCAAGAAGGAAAGGAGTGAGGGTGCGGGGGCTGTGGCGGAGAAGGAGCCCAGCGTGCTGCAGCCCCTGGCCCTGGCTGTGAGGGTGGGACAGTATGATGGGGGCCAGGGGACAGAGCCTGCTGCTGCCGAGCAGCTTGGGAGTATAGCTATTGACACAGGAGCGGCGCTCAATCCCTTGGGAGTTAAGTCGGAGCTGGAGGATGGGGAAGCCGAGTGCCGGCAGCTGAAAAAGGTGAAGTCGGAGAAGGTAAGAAAGGTGCTGAGGTGCGAGTGGAGATGGCGTTGCCACTCAGCTCCGGCGGTCGCTCCTGTGCTGGGATGTGCTGCTGCGGGTGACGAGGGAGCGGGACCTTACAGCGGGACTGTCGGAGGCCAGCAGTGACGTGTGGCTGGTGCCTCCTGCTTCTGGTGGGAAGGCGGTTTGACCGTGTGGTGTGCCGGGGTCTGGGTGCCGCTGTGGTCAAGCCGTGCCTGACTTCTAGAAACCGTGCACCAGCAAATGGCCTGCAGTCACTGTGTGTCAGGGTACCGTCCTGCTGTACCCTCGGGGATTCGGTTTCTTTGGTGCTCTGGCTGTGGCAAGCGTATCCAAGTCTCTCCTGTCACTCTGGGAGGAGCCTGGGCTGGCTGTGAAGGTGATCCCAGTCCTGTGCCTGCTGCAGCTTCTGACAGCACAGTGTCTGTTGGCTGCTGTACTCTGGTTCCCGGTGGCCTCACCTCGTGTGTCAAAGCTCCCCGCAGCTCCCGGAGGAATTTATTTCGCTCTGGTTGCATCATTTGCAGAGGAGATCTTAACATGTTAGTGAATGTGGGATCTGCGTGGGTGCACAGGCAAGCACAGGGTGCAGGGCTGACAGGAGTTACCGCCTCGTTTCTCGGTCCACCGTTAGTACGTGGGCTTTGTCCCGCTTGTCAGCCTCGGGCTGACGGGTTGCTGTGGGTGATTATTTTGTACATGTTGCTACTCCGTTAACAGGCAGCAGCGATGCTGAGCTGGTGAAGCTGCTCTTCCAGGTCACCGGGGGTGCAAAAATCCCTGCCAGTGGCGTGCGGCCGATGGGGCGGGGGGCCGTCCGTCCTTTTTTTGAGCAGCGTTTGGCTCGGGGTGGCTGGTTGCGGCCGCTGGAGCAGACACTCAGTTGGCTCGTCCCTCAGTAATGGCAGCAGCCAGTGTGATTTCTGCCTGCGGACGGGGCAGGACTTGAGCGCGTGGAGTTCTTTGCGCTGGGAGCAGAACTCCCCCGCACGAGCTACGCGCGTGGTGTCGCCCGTCTCTGCCCCTCAGTAATGGCAGCAGCCAGTGTGATTTCTGCCTGCGGACGGGGCAGGACTTGAGCGCGTGGAGTTCTTTGCGCTGGGAGCAGAACTCCCCCGCACGAGCTACGCGCGTGGTGTCGCCCGTCTCTGCCTGTTGAACATTTGCTGTGCATGGCATGAGCGTGTGCGTTTGGGGTGGCCCAGCCCCGTTGCCGTCACCATGTGCTGGGGTGTTGAGGGTGTCAGGTTGTGTCTCCCTGCGCTGGCGGCCAGCGGCTCCTCGGGAGGATTTCTGCTTTGACGTGGGGATCGTGGTGCTGGGTGCCAGGAAGGGATGGATGGGTGGGGAGCGCTCACTGGATTTGGGAGAGTTGCTGACACCAGCGAGATGTTGGGGAGATACTTCTTTCCCATCCACAGGAAGATAACGCAGAGCATGAAAATACGGAGAGAAGGTGGGGATGGTCAGCCATGGGATGGCTCTGGGGGAGAAGCTGCTGAGTAGGTTGGTGCTTCCTCTGCTTGGGAACAAGACTCCTGGGACAGGTGGTTGAAGCCTGTAAAATTAAGGAGCGACATGGGGATGATTTGTTGTTTCCTTGTCCTTTCTGGCAGCAGAACCAGAGTGAGTGAAACTGGGTAGAGCAACAGATGATCTTCTGCATGATGGACTTGAATGCTGCTGCAAAAAGCTGTGGATGCTGAAAGGTCACTGATATTCTGGGTGGGTTTGTGGAGGAGGAACTCGTCAGAGAGTTGTAAAGGGCAACGTCTTTGGCTTGGGTAAAACTGAAAAAGGGCTGGAGCTTGGGAAGTAGTTCGGGAACTACCTCAACGTGCTTGGCTGTTACATTCCTATAGCCATCTGCTGCTGGCTGTGTCAAAGCCAGCACGGGGCTGGCTGGGCCGTCGGTCATACCCTGCACTGCTTTTCCTGTGGATTTACTGCTACGATTTATTTCTTTCACTGCTTTAGCTGCAGAAACCCTCTGCAGGTAGAAATGCCAAAGTGAGGTGGGGGTTATGAAGATGGAGCCCAAACGTCACGGACGCTGACAGGCTTGAGGAGTGAGCCCATGTGAACCGTGTGAAGTTCAGCTAGGCCAAGCGCAAGGTCCTGCACCTGGGTTGGGGCAAACCCCACTATCCGTGCAGACTGGGGGTTGAATGGATTGGGAGGAGCCCTGCGGAGAAAGACCGAGGGATACTGGTGGGTGACAAACAGGGCATTAGCTGGCACTGTGCCCCTGCAGCCCGGAAAGCTGAGTATCCTGGGCTGCATCCAAAGAAGCGTGACCAGGAGGTGATGCTGCCCCTCCACTCCATCCTGGTGAGACACCATGTTCTGTGATGCAGGTGGTGAAACATGGGAACTGGTTGCCCAGAGAGGCTGTGGATGCCCCCTCCCTGGAAGTGTTCAAGGCCAGGCTGGATGAGGCTTTGAGCAACCTGGTCTAGTGGAAGGTGTCCCTGCCCATGGCAGGGGCTTGGAACTAGATGGTCTTTAAGGTCCCTTCCAGCCCAAACCAGTCTGTCATCTCCATACAGATACCCTGTGAGGATGGTTCTGCCATTTTACTTGTCCAGATTCAGGTACAACCACGTCGATAAAGGCTCAGCGTGGAGGGTTGAGCCCTGGTTTGAGAAGTGATTTAAGGTCTGGATCTGTGGGAAACATGTTGCGTTTGCTCTCAGGAGGAATCATTGGCTGCGTTTCGTCAGGCTCCTGGGGGCAGCTATGGCTTCCTTTGGGTTGGGAAAGCTGTGGGCGAGGAGAGGAAAGGTGTCTGCATGGCGAGGGGTGGGAAAGCAGTTTTATTTCTTGAGGAGGAGCCTGAGGATGGGCTGGTGACTGGGGCAGGGTGGAGGGGATGAGTGGAGGAGGGCAGGGGCACTGGGCTTTTCCTGTCTCCTGAAAGCTGCAGAGATGCCCCAAAACCAGCATGTGGAGTCTGAAGTACAAGTGAAAAGCTGAGGTACGTGCTGGCTGTGGGAGGGCAGCTCCTCTGGGAAGTGCATCAAGGGGCTGATGGGGACAGGTTCCTGCAGGCCTAGGGACAAATCCTGCCTGGGAAGCGAGAAACTTGCTCAGACCGAAACAGGAACAGCCACAACATGACTCAGCCCAACCTTTGGTCTCCGGCAGCTTGTCCTCTGCTTAACCCTGTGCTGCTCCCACTTCCGTTTCGGGCAGGGAGGCTGGTCTCCATCTGGGGATGAAGAAAGAGAGACCGTCTCTCCCTCCACTGCCTTCAGCCCGGGGTAGGTGACCTCCCCGTACATACGTGCCCGCCGAGCAGTCAGCCTCCAGCTAGGTTTTGTTTTATCACCTTGGCTGGATTAAAGAGCACTTTAGTAGCGAGTATTTTTCCTTGATGAGGTGCTTTGGTGCCACAGCCAACTCGCGGTTTGCTCCTCCTTCTGCTTTTGTGCTCTTTAAATATCTCGCTGTAGGGCTTTGCAGCCCTCTCAGTCCTTGCTGGGTGTAGGCAAGAGCTGTGGGTTTTTCAGACACCCTTTCATGTCAGCAGGTGCTTGAGCTGTGTGGTGTCCACAGACGTGATTGTCCTTGCTCCCGAGTCTGGCGTCGCAGCGACGGGGCCTGTGGACGTGGCCCGTGGGCTCGATGGTTTTGCTGGTGTGACTGCTCGGCTTCTCTGGTCACTGCTCCTCAGGGTGAAGCCTCAGGAACCTAATATCCCAAATCTCCTTTTTCTAGGTGCTGGCAGTATCCAGCCTCCTGTTAGGGCACATTCTGACTTATTATCTACCATCCCCCAACCCGATGCCATCGGTGTGTTGGGACACAAGCGATAACTTTGCCAGGGATGGGGCTGATTGTGATGAAACCTGTTGGAAATCACCCCTCTGAGACCTTCCAGGGTTGCTGGGATGGGTTCAGCACCAAGTGTAGGTTTCCCTTGCGCTGTGGTTTGGTGCCCAGGCAGCTCCCATGCTGTTGGAGCCCCAAAAGATATTTGGGAGGGGGGGGGCAGGAGTGAGGGAGAAATACTTCTTGCAGCAGGGAACGAAATGAGCCTGTGCTGACGCACCCACAACCAGAGCGTGCGGACCAGCAACTGGGTCTGTGCCCAGCTCGGCGGGCAGCGAGCCCTGGGTCACTGGGGATGGCCAGAGCTGAGCTGGGGTTTGGTTTGGGGGGGCACCCATGTTCAGGAG